CGCGATTCAAGGTAATCTAACCGATATTCTTTTGCGATATCGCATGTACAAGGTAGCGCTAACATGGTGACATTAAACAAATGTATCGGAAAATAATCGTGCATGAAAATGATCGAGATTGTCAGCGAATATTGTGGAGATTCTCGACAAGTGAACCGATTCAGGAATTCAGACTCAATACCGTCACGTATGGCGAAACCAGCTCGGCGTACCTAGCGTTGAGATGCATACGCGTACTCGCGAAAGAGTCAGAACACGAATTTCCGTTAGTATCACGAATGTTATCGGAGCAAACTTACGTCGACGATATTTTAGCAGGCGCGGATAGTCCCGACGAAGCCGCGTTATTACAGGAACAGATTACCACAACACTCAAGACAGGCGGATTCGAGACGCACAAATGGTGTTCCAACAACAAAGAGGTTCTAGCCAAGATACCACACAAGTCGAGGGAAGAGAAGCACCGTCACATGGACACAAGCGAAACGATCAAGACATTGGGGCTCATATGGAACCCAGACAACGACCAATTCCAATTTCATGTACATGGACATGAAGAAGTAGCCACGAAGCGAGAGATTTTGTCGGCGATAAGCAAAATCTTCGATCCGATCGGATTGATCGGACCAGTATTAACAGCGGCCAAGATTATCATGCAGGAGACTTGGCGAACAGGATGTCAATGGGATGAATCACTGCCAGAAGCACTCGAGAAAAAATGGAAGCAATTTCGTCAGGATCTGGCCGCCGCAAAGACGTTATACATTCCAAGACGTGCAATCGCTTTCGAACATATAAGAAGAATAGGCCTACAAGGATTTTGCGATGCGTCTGAGCACGCTTATGGAGCATGCCTGTACCTTCAGGTCGAGGATAGGGACGGCGTACATGCAGCTAGGTTGCTGTGCTCAAAGTCAAGGATAGCGCCACTCAGACGCATCTCCATTCCTAGATTGGAACTATGCGGAGCAGTTCTGCTAGCCCGATTGATGTTCAACGTTCAACGAGCCTTGCAAATACAATTCGACGATGTGCAAGCATGGTCCGATTCTCAGGTCGCACTATGTTGGATTCGTGGGGATCCCTCAAGATGAAAAGGTTTCGTAGCTAATCGCGTCAACAAAATCATCGAACTATTACCCGCAGAACATTGGAATCATGTGAAAGGAACGGAGAATCCTGCAGATATGATGTCGCGTGGAACGACTTTACAACAACTGAAGGAATCTGAGCTCTGGTGGTCCGGTCCACCATGGATGAGAGGAAAAGCGGCGAGCATCAAGGACAATGAGGACTGCGAGCAAATAGAAGAAATTACCAAAGAAGTTGAAAAAGAGGCGCAGGCATCCAAAATGGCTTGCAACCTAGTCAGCAGGAAGAATTCCGTACTACAAGAATTAATAAACAAGTTCTCCTCGATAACCAAGATGGAACGAGTATTGGCACACTGCATTCGATTCACGAGGAATCTTCGCAAATTCACAGGAGAACGAAAAACATTGAGCCTATCCGCCAGTGAGGTGAACGAAGCACACCTCCTCCTGATACGACATGTACAGGCGAGCGAGCTCGCCAACGAGATAGCAAACTTGAGAAAAAATCACGAGTTGAACGCCAGCAGCAAGATTCTCCAATTACAGCCTTTTTTAGACAAGCAGGGCATCCTTAGGGTGGGAGGCAGGTTGCACCATACACCTTGGGAATTCGAACGAAAACACCCCATTATCCTGCCCGATCGAAACAGATTTTCAAGACTATTGTTCGTGAGGGAACATCAACGATTGTTGCACGCTGGTCAACAGCTGCTATTAGCATCTATAAGAGAGAAATATTGGCCTCTTAGAGGACGAGATTTAGCCAGACGCACATGCCGCGAATGCGTACGATGTTTCCGAGCACAACCGCCAGCAATGCATCAGATCATGGGATCTCTGCCCCGTGATAGGGTCAATCCGGATCGCGCATTTGCCATAGTGGGTATTGACTTCGCTGGCCCAATTGCGACTCTGATCAGCAAAGGTCGAGGCAGAAGGACCCACAAATCATACATCGCGTTATTCATTTGCCTATCCACTCGAGCTATCCACCTAGAAGCCGCAAGTGAGCTCAGCACCGCGGCGTTCATAGCGACCTTAAAAAGATTTGTGGGAAGAAGAGGACGACCACTCAAAATCTACAGTGATAACGCGAAGAACTTTGTCGGTGCTAATAAGGAACTCCAGGAGTTACGCAAATTCGTTAATAATCAAGTCCAAGGAGGATTTGGCAATGAACTCGCCAATGAAGGCATAGAGTGGAGCTTTATACCACCTCACTCACCACACATGGGAGGTATCTGGGAAGCGGGCGTCAAGTCTTGTAAACACCATCTGAAAAGGGTGATGGGAAATTCGCATTTCACATTCGAGGAATTCACAACAGTACTTATCCAGATCGAGGCATGTGTCAACTCGAGGCCTTTATGCCCATTATCCGCAGATCCCTCTGACCTACAGCCTCTCACACCAGCGCACTTCATCGCAGGAGGACCACTGACCAGCCTTCTTGAAGCGAACATGATAGAGACCAAACTCAATCGCCTCAATCGATGGCAACTTGTGCAGCGTACCGTCCAGCATTTTTGAAAACGGTGGTCGACTGAATACATCGCCAATTTACAAAACCGAACGAAATGGAAAGGAAAACAACCCAATCTATAAATGAACGACTTAGTTTTGATACGAGACGACAATGCACCCCCATTGAAATGGAAATTAGGACGAGTAATCGAGCTACATCCCGGACACGACGGTTTCATCCGAGTGGTCACGATCCGTACAAGAAACGGGATCTACAAACGATCTGTAGTCAAACTATGCAAATTACCCGTCAACGAGGATGAGTAAATTAGCTTGCCTAATCGGTGGGCGGCTTATGTTGAGAGCTATACCGATCATCCACTCGACACGTGTGATTCGACGCAAGATAACTTATCGACTGCGTCGCCCAGCGAGCGACATCGCATTGATTAAGAGCGAACTATATATAGACAATCTATTGTAACGTATTCATTAAGTGTATACTGTAAGGGAATAAACTAAGCTTTATTCAGTGGAATCGAGTCTCCAGTTCAATTCGAAACATTGGTCCTTCGAGCCGGATAGGCTAAGGAAATCGTGAAATACAGTCCACAAGAAGCAAGGTCAAGGAATCGCGCACGACGCGCGAACAATCGCAAGTACACCGAAGTGAGGTTATACGCACACCGGCATGGGTGAGATAGAGAAACTTCACAAGAGACGAGGGGCAATCAAGGCCAAATTGACGAGACATGATCGTTTCATATTGAAACTGTTTTGGAAAATGTTTCGAACATTTGTTGTTTATTAAACACCAATCTCCACATGGCCCATGAATCATATGTTTCATTACAACTTTATGTAAATTTTCATTTTCATCAGGATTAGGAATTTCTGCTGAAATAAATCTATCCACTGCTTCAGGATTTAATATCTAATAATTTTGTTTCAAAGTAACTAACAAATGTATGTGTGGCAATCCACATTTTTGAAATTCTATCACATAAACATATGCGAGAACTTCTCCAAAAAATTTTTGTCTAACGATAATATCAATCAAATAATCTTTTTTTATATTAATTACACGAGCACAGATATCTGATCTATCCGCAGGTTGTTGATTTGGAAGTAAATTTTCTCTAATTTTGTGAGAGGTTGTTTTTATTATTTACATGTAAGATTTTTATGTTCATAGGTATAGACAAGCAGACATAAATGTCACTATGATTCATAGACCAATAGGAAACGATCTTAAGTTTGGTAGATGGCGGTACGAGACGTGACTCTAAACGCGCCAATTTGGATTGAAAGTCATAGTAATAAATAGATCTGGTTTTCCATTTTCTAACAATAGCCATCGCATCTTGATAATGCTGCAACATATTACGAGGTGAACCTACAAACGTCGATGGAAGTATAATCATTTTTCCTATATGAGCATCATTATTATTAGCAGCGTTTGCCAAATAATCAATTAATCCTTGATAACTTTCAGCTCGTAATTATTTTTGATTTTGTTTGCAATAATTAATTCTATCTTTTTCAATTTTAACATAATTTTCTACAAGCCATTGTTGAAATTTGCCCAAAATAAAAATATTAAAATCATCACGTATAGCTATTCGATATTTCACGTAAGCAGATCTACTAACTCGTTTGTTACTATTTTTACATAAATCATAAATTACCATGCTAACCTTGATTACCATATAGATAATACAATGGATAAATCCATGATTCACTTGTTGTAACTTCTTGTTACTTTTATTATAAATTATAACATATGTTTCTGGAATTTCTCCATCTGCAGTAGTAGAAAAAACAGCTGCTACTTCATTCACTCTTTGTATGTTATATCTTATATCGACCACGATCAAAATACCTTTTTTTGTTAAAAATCCTAATTGTAATTCATGTATATTATGATTTTCTGTTTGCTGTTGTACTTGAATTTCTTCATGTATCATTCGATATGATTGAGCGAAAATATTATTTGTATGTATTATATTATCTATTAAACGTAAGATTTCTTCATCAAGGTTCGAATTTTGATGTAATCGACATTCTATTGCTTCATTATCATCTACAATGAAAAGTTGACCGTAACTTGGCATTTCGTTAGATGTGGGATATAACGCAGTGTTACGTATTTTTATTGAGATTTTCTCCGTATTTTGAGTCAATGCATTTAAGCAATTTACTCGGGGATCGGAGATTAGGTTGTGCGGTTAATAATGTTCACTGGGAAG